TTTTTTTTTTTTTTTTTGCGGTATGCTGGCCTCTCACTGTTGTGGCCTCTCCTGTTGCGGAGCACAGGCTCCAGATGCGCAGGCTCAGCGGCCATGGCTCACGGGCCTAGCCACTCCGCGGCATGTGGGATCTTCCTGGACCGGGGCACGAACCCGTGTCCCCTGCGTCGGCAGGCGGACTCTCAACCACTGCGCCACCAGAGAAGCCCTGATACCTGTATCTTCTACTTCAACTCTAAAACCCAATGTTATCAGAAAATCAAAGAAGCAGGCTTTTCTTAACTCAGGACTCATTTCTGATGAAATCTTTAGTTTGCTGTGGTCAAACATTCAAATGCCTACATCTGTCAGATACTGCAAATCAGTGAAAGGGGCCAGGGAGGAACTATTTTACGTTGAAAATCTCATATCTTATCTAAAGGGAGTGGCACTATTCAGCTACAGTGAAATAGTCATACAGGCCTGGTATTATTAGATACTGCAATTTTTGAAGAGAAAATATGGAATCTCAATTTTTATGAGACATTTCATGATTTTTAAAAATATTGGCAACTAATTCAAAAATTTTAAAGCATTGTTTTAAAATAAATACCAAACGGATTATACCTGTGGGTCAGATTGAATCCACCTGAAACTGCTGTGTTACCTTTAGCTTATAGACTCCAGTGATGGAGGACACCATGGCATCTTGCCAACTATTTGGATATCTGCATTATATCTGGTCTCATTGACATTTGGCCTGTTTTTCTTCAGTGAAGAGTTCCCATTTGCCCAACCAAAAAAACATGCATTCATTTATCACATTTTAATGTTTCCAAAGTCTCTTGGTATTGTTACAGAGCTACACTGGCAACCGATTCTGTCAGAAAACCTCTGTTAAAACCCAACCCTTGTATTGATTTTTGTAGTTTCAAGTTATATTTTTCTCCCCAAAACATTACTTTGTGATTAGAGGTATAGTAATTGAGAAAAGGCCCCCTAATATGTGAGTCTTTTAAAAGACTCAAATAGAAGGTGATTCCTTCCTTTTTGAGAGATAAACCAAACCAAATCTTGCTTTATAGTCATTCATGCATTTACAGCATTAATAAGGTTCCCTGTTAAACAATGAGATGCTGTTTACCTTACATTAAAGAGCATCTATCATTTATAGAGTTTACCTTTTTTCTTTTATTTGTTTTATGTTTTGATTTTTCTTTCCTTTAAAAAAATGTATCTGTTGATTTTTTATTTTCTATAGCTACCATAAATTAGGAGTTGGATTCTGTCTCCCATAGGCTTTTATTTTGTTAGATGGGTAGTACAAAAGTCTTGTAGGTGACCATCAGACACCAGAATGTATCAGTCACCAAGATCCTATTTGGACATGAATAAACCCTGAAGAAAAAAGGGAGAAGGCTAATAAATGGTTTATAGATACATAGGGTGGTAGGTTAAGATGGATGGCTTTTTTTCTTGCTCTGCAAAGCAAAAACATAGATGATACTTTAATTTCTGGATTTTAAAAATAGTGATTTTTTTTCCTTTCTAAAAACATAAATGTGTGTGTGTACTTGTGTGTGAAAATGTGCATTTTCATTTGTATTTTTCATTTTAGATTCTTACATCTTAAATTGAGCCTTAAATGGCTCAAACCCTTTCTTTGAACAAATTTATGTTCCAGACCATAGGTCAGCACATTCTTCTGTACTGTTAAGGGCCAGATAACAAATATTTTTAGCTTTATGGACCATATGGTCTCTGTCACAAGTCCTCAGCTCTGTCATTGTAACCCAAAAGCAGCCATAGAAATATGTAAATGAACGGGCATAGATAGCTGTGTTCAAATAAAGCTTTATTTATAGACATTGAAATTTAAATTCCAAGATTTTTATATGCCACAAATTATTATTGTTATGATCATTATAATTTTCAATCATTTAAATTTGTAAAAAACATTCTTACCTCATGGGTCACACAAAAACAGGTGGTGGCCTGGATTTCCCTGTGGACTGTAGTTTGCCAACCATAGTCTACACTACAGAATGAATTACAGTCTTTCTCTGACTCTAGCCAAACGCTCTTTTCTGAGGATACAACATTTTAAGTATGAAATAAATAATTTATTCTTTGCAGTATTATGTGCTGAAATTGCCAATAGCGAATACCCCATATTTATTTTTTAAGGGGCTGGTTTAAGAACATAAAGTTTTCATGTTGTCTTTTAATGAAAATCGGCTCATCAAAGAGAGTCTCCTTCCTGACCATATTCCTTGTAGTATGTGAATTCAAAGTTTTAACATTGGGATATTTGGGAACATCTAACATCCACTAACATGTAGGGGGAAAAAAAAAGTGACATGCTTGTGACCTTGTATTATGCTACGAATGAAATATTTCTGTTTCACTAACAGTTAAATTATCATAGTTCAATTGTACCTAAATTAAGCTTTAATATTGTTGCTCTCTCATGTAATATGTTTTCATTAAAATAAGAATTATAAGTAAGAAACGGAAGAGAATTTATTTTAAAGTGAAATATTTTAAATGTAAAAGATAATTTCTCAACTTTCATATTATTGGAATGAACAGTTGATTTGATATAGCTTTTATTCATACTTTATTGATTTCTTCAGAGACATTGGTAGCAGAATGTTTTTCCAGCACTTTACTATAAAATTCCAGTATCTTGATTTTACTTCTGGCCATTAAACTAGAAATAATGGAATTAAAATAGGGTATCTTTTTAGAAAATTGAAAACTACCCACAATTCTATTACTTATATTTAGAATCTTCCATTTAAAAACTTTTTAAACTTTTCATGCTTTAGCAAGGATTTAGTTACTACCTACTGTGTGCTGGGTCACATTTTGCATATACTAATACTCACTCTGAGTATTGGAATTAGGTTAATTTTACTATGCCCGTACTTGTAGTGAGGTTAGGATATAGTTTTCCATAAGTGATATAAAGTTTAAAAGTTTTTATAAAAGTAAAATTCCATTTCAAGAAATATTAAAATGATATGTTCTATATAACAATTGTCTTATCTTGGTAGATGACTGTCGCATAGAGTTTTTATGGATCTAATTAGAGCAGTTCTTAATGAAAACAAATGACTTTTCCCTTTATTCCTGTAAACTTCATGTTTTTAAGCACAAAGCTTAATTGTGTGCTCTTTCACAACAGACTAGAGGAAATTGCTATTTGGTGGTAGGATAGAATTTTGTAAAGGACTCCTTTATTTCCATTAAATAGTAATGTTCTTCACCTCTGAAACTATTCTAGTACCTCTTAAACCCATCTGAAATCTTTTTCCAACCCTCTCTCATAAACATTCCCAAATGAGTCCATTAATATTTTAAAAAATGGTTTCGTGTGGGGAGTTTGGGAGGATGCCATCTCTGTTTTTCTTACAATATCATAACGATTGATTTTGACTTATTAATCTATGAAACCAATACTCAGCATTATTTCTTCTTTAGAGCCTTTAGATAATAAATTTCTAGAAATTAATTTGTTTAAATATAATTCTGTTTTAATGTAATAATTTGGTTGTACTTCGGGGTTTTGTCATTAAATTTTACTTACAGCAATATGCTTAAACTCAAATATGTTGTTTTCTATCTCTTAGTTTAACTATTAATATTTGTCTTATTTTTATAGTGTTTAAAATTAGAAACGTACAAAATAAAACATGCATAGAGTAGAGCAGCAACATTTTTGGCAGACATTTTCACTGGACACTTAGACATATATATCGAAGAATTCCTATAAACTCTTCTAAACACTTGTTGCTAAATTTCAACATTATTCATGTGCCTTTATTAAATGGATTTTAATTTCCTCCTCTAGAAAGGGAGTTCTGGGAATTGTGTAACAAGTGTAATTTGATGAGACCAAAGCGTTCCCATCACTGCAGCCGCTGCGGCCACTGTGTTAGGAGAATGGATCATCACTGTCCATGGTAAGAAATAAGTAATTCACTTTTTGGAAAAAAAGGTAGTAAAAAATAAATCTTAGTACTTAGCAGATTTAAACAAAGGTTATATTAGAGTTACACAGTTTAAGAAAACCTTTTTAATAAAGATCCCTGTATTTGATCATATGGTTCTGTCAACTCCCAAAGTCATTTTTTTCCAGAGATCCTATATTTTCTCACAAGGAGATATTTGGGCAGAAAACTAAGAATTAACATGCACCCAAATATACAAAAGAACTAAGGTGGTTTTATTAAATGAGGCAATGTATGTAAAGCATTCAGTGTAGTATCTGACATAGAAAATACTTAAATATAAATATAGTAGCTGTTATTGTTTCTAACTGTAATAAACCGTATACATCTCATTGTTTGTATTTCCCTTCCAGTTTGTTTAATTAAAGAGTAACACATTTCAGATACCCTTATACCTCATTTCACCCACTTTCAGCCTTTTTCAGTGCTATGAATTGGTAATAGGTATTAACTGGCTGGATGTGTAAAAAGTGGTAGTTAGCTGATTCTGCTGAACTGCCAACATTTTTGGTCAATAGGGGGCTCTCTTGTAATATTTAAAGAAAATGTTCAGTTGAGAAATAGAATTTTTGAAAACAAATGCTGTGAGAGTTCTTCATTGTATCTCATTTCAAAGCTGTCACAAAAATCTGTGAAAAAGATATTGTATTTAATTCTGCTTTCCTAGCATGGGATCTCTGTATAAATATTTAAACTGGTATGGTGTAGCACTTTATAAATATATCTATATACATATATATTTATGTTTGTACACACATACATGCATATATGCAAAGTTAGCTACATAATAATCTTCTTAAATTTATAATTGCATTTATCTAAGGTTGACTCAGGGTAGAGTTTAGCTTTGCCTAGTAATGCTAATCAATTTAGAGTTTCTCTTGTTTTTGATAACACAAGTTACTATTAGCAAGCTTTTAGTAAGAATTTGGTTTTCACTATAAACTGATTGTTTAAATACAAGGTAATTTCCTGAGATTAAGAAAAAGTAAAAGCACTTTGTTACTATGTAAAAAACTTGAAAATTCCATCAACAGGATAGTTTAGTATATAACATACAGTTGGTGTTGAAAAAATGTGCCTTGACTTTAAACAGATCAATTCTCAAGTGATTTTACAAACCTCAGTGTTCTGTTTACAGTTGCAATAGTAGTAGATTTTTTAAAGCTATATAAAACATGTATTCAGGTAAGGGATAATCACACTTAAAAACTCAATTTTATACACTTTTTAGAGTAATATTTCTGATTAAAAGTATAATAAACGTTCAGGATAGTTGGTTGGATATTGATACCTCCTTTTAAGTGAATGCAATAGCTTAAGCTTAAAAAATAATGAACTAGGAACTGTTTTGGTACTATATAGATGAGTGATTTTATTTATTGATTTATTTTCAAGGAATAAAGATTGACTTGGTGACAAAATAAAGTGCTGTTTAACCAAAATTCTAAGATTGGGGTGAGCTCTCTGTTCCTAGGCCTTGTGCCTCCATAGTTTTAGTCACCTTCTCAGAACACTGGTGGCAAGAGCGAGGGTAGACCAGGGGGCCTGAGTAGATTTAGGGATTTATGTGATTGAATTCCCTAATAGAGCAGTGCTGAGATATTCAGAGAGTGAGGGAAATGTACAGTACAACTAGAAGCAAGGAGAATTTTTGATTTTTTTCAGAAACTGCATTATCTTAGCTGCTTAACAGCTTTGGATTTGGAGGTCAGTTCTCTGATGACCTCAAGGTTTACTCTATTTTTGGCTCTAATCACTCCTTCCAAGGAACTTGCTATCAAAAGAACTCTTACATGTGGATTATCTTAGTGTTTCTTAAAGTTCTGTGCTTAAGAAGAACGCCATGATCATAGCAGTTATTTCTCAAATTTTGGGGGGACAGAAAGGAATGGGGCAAGTATAAGTCATCTTTCAAGCAACAGCTAGTGAAGAGTATTTTTGAGTGCATACAGAAGCACCCTTCTCTGGTAGCCCTGCTTGCAGATAACAAAACACAGGAAGTTTTCTTGTTTACAAAGCATGCACTCTTTAGTCTAAGAAATGCCTCTTCCAGGTTTTCGGTTCAGTTATATATCTGATTTTAAAAAACAGTTAGACAGCACACTTTTAAAACAACAATTTAAGTTAGGAATTTGACCCTATTTATTTATTTTTTCAAACAGTGGCAGTGTAATGCTATATTGAAATGAAAACATTTGTGAAAGGTAATTTGTAGTTTTGAACTAGGGTTTTCTGCTGGAATTGTAAAATATTTTGAAAATTTAGGTACAATAAATAACCTTAAACAATAAAATGGTCAGCTTGCATTAATCTTGAATATTTTGGGATTATGACATTAATCCTTTTTCCTAGTTGTGGTTCACTGTTGTATTGGTGGAAATGTAGCTCTAAGAATTTATAAATACTTTTGGATATGTGTTTATTTTCAGGAACCAAGGTTAGATTTTAAAAGTAAGAAAAATTGTGAATGCTTAGCAGTATCTCAGAGTGGCAGGTTTAAGTTATTTTACTTCACATCATTCAAATTGGTCTGCACAGCTAGAATGCTGCGGTGGAAGAGCAGTATACAGAAGAGGGTTCTTGTTCTCTTGACCACTGTCTCTCCTAACTGTACATCCTCTGGCAATTGTCCTAACTCCTTTGTTCCTTTTTTGTATCAGTGAAGCAAGGAGGCTGCCATCTGTTCTTCCCTGCCTCACTGGGTTGTTGTTGAGTTGAAGGGGAATCATATACAGGACTTCTTTAAAAAGTAGAATGTGCTTTACAAATGTGAAGTGGCATATTTGTGTCATATCTTATGTACTCTTTGCTTTTAGGTTTGAGTGACTTTAGCTTATCTCTGTGAAGTAAAGCACATATGAAGTTTGTGCTTTATGTGAAGTTTGTGTGTGTTTGCGTCTAGTTTTACCGTCCTAAAATTAACATTAAAGTTTGAAATAATTTTTCTTTTTCCTTTTTTTCTTCAGGATTAACAATTGTGTTGGTGAAGATAATCACTGGCTTTTTCTGCAGTTGTGTTTCTACACTGAACTTCTTACTTGCTACGCACTGATGTTTTCTTTCTGCCACTATTATTACTTTCTTCCACTAAAAAAGCATAACTTGGTAAGAAATGTTTATATCAACTAATGTTAGAGCAACTATATTATACAGTTATTAACATGTGGTGCTTTTAAGTGCAGAAAACTGAAAACAAAAACAACAAACATAAACCCTCAAATTGGTGCATTTTAAAATATATTGGAATTGAGAAAGTGGACCCTGTTCTGATATTGCCTTTTAACCACATCTATTTATGATTATTTATTAGTGTTGAGTTCTTTAAAAAGTGACATATTAGATCTCTTAATAATATATTGGTTTAAAAATATCTACAGTAATGAAAAACAAAGTGAAAATGTTAGCTTCTTGTTTCTTCTCAGGAATAAAAATAGACTTGTTTAATTCTTAAAGGTTCTCAAAGGAACATTAAGTTCTTGAGAGAAAGGACAAGACGAATTTGCAGGATGCCCTAAAAAGTTATTACATACACCGTTTGAGGCATTGCTTTTTCCATTTTGTAGAGGAACTACAATAGATGTTAACAAGATTTGCCCAGAATGGTGGTGTTAGTGGTGGCGGTGGTAATAGCATCACCTAGGAGTGTTAAGGCTTGACTGTATATCAACACTATGCTATGGGCGTGTGATTTTAATTCTCACGTTAATGCTCACTACAGCCACATGAGGTGGGTATGATTTTTCCCCCATTTTATAGATGGAAACAGACTAATAGAGGTTGAATAAATAGTTACTGAAGATGCAAAGCTAGGGAAGTGATTATTAAACTGGTTTTAGTTGTAGAGCTGGGATTTGAACCTGATTTTGTGTTTTCTGAATCATATCTTGTGTGCTTTGTGTGTAGAACTGGTATTTGAGCCTGATCCTATGTGTCATTTGGACTTAGATTGTGTTTTTAAAATGCCGTCTGTGTGTGTGTGTGTGTGTGTGTGTGTGTGTGTGTGTGTGTGTGTGTGTGTTTTGTGTGTGGGAGAGAGAGACAGAGAGAGTATGAGCAAGGGTGTGTGTGAGAAACCGGTAGGGAAGAGAGAGGGAAGAAGGAATAGATTCCCTGGTGGAGAAGGGTGTTTTCTTTCCTATTTATATCATTTTATACTGTTTAAATCTTTTTTTATTAAAAATAACAAGTTCGGTGGTGGTACATACAATTAAATTTTGTAATAAGAGAGTGATTGAGAGAAGGTCTTTAAGTTCTGCGTATTTAGATCTTTTTTATACACATGGTCATTTTGTTTAATTAAAAGAAGATATTTACTACTGTTGCTTAGTTGCATATATTAGTGGGGCCTTGTGGTAATTCTCCTTATTAAATACAGAGTGAGCAATTAAAAACTAATAACTGAAAAAAGTTCAAAAGGGAGAACTGTAAATATAGGTGTTTGACATCATCACACTGAGACTTTAGTGCATGCTAGTACTGTGGTTTTAGAAACGTTTTATTTATAGATGAATTTCTTTTTTTATGCTTTCTCATATTTTAATTTTACTTTCTAATAAGACCAGGTACAAAAGAATGGTCACCCAAAACATCCAGATCAAAAGCTCTAATGCAATAGCAGCTAATATTTAGGGAGTCGTTTAGGGTCGATAAGGTACTTTTTCTGCACGTGTTATTTCTTTTAATTCCCACAACAACTGTGTGAGGTGACCTAGCCATGAGTGTGACTTTAAAGCCAAACTCCTTGGGTTTGAATCTCAATTATAGGTTAATTTCTGATATAATTGGTATTGTAGTTAAAATATGTAAAAGGTTATACATATTCTCCCAAGAGTAACCTGTTTCAAGTAGATTGAGCCTAATAAGAAAAGCATTAAGATAAAAATTTACCAGTAAGATTAAGGTCAGAATGTTTTAAAAACTGAGAGAGAGGTAAAATTTAGTGGTATTAATGAAAAGCTGCTAGAGCTTCTCTAGGAGGGAATGCATTGTAGGATAGTGAAGGGATTGGCAAACTATGGGCGTTGGGATAAGTTTGGACCTCTGCCTGTTTTTTTTTTTTTGTCTTCTTTTTCCTCTGCCTGTTTTTGTTAATAAAGTTTTACTTGAAACATAGCTGCTCTCATCTATTTACATATGTTTATGATTGCTTTTGTGCTGCAACAGCAGAGTTGAATAGTTGTGAGAGAGGCATATGGCCTAAAATATTAAGTATCTGGCTCCTTTATTTTTTTAATTAATTTATTTTTGGCTGCATTGGGTCTTTGTTGCTGTGCGCAGGCTTTCTCTAGTTGCAGCGAGCAGGGGCTACTCTTTGTTATGGTGCGCGGGCTTCTCATTGCGGTGGCTTCTCTCATTGTGGAGCATGGGCTCCAGGCACGCAGGCTTCAGTAGTTGTGGCAAGAGGGCTCAGTAGTTGTGGCTCGCGGGCTCTAGAGCGCAGGTTCAGTAGTTGTGGCACACAGGCTCATTTGCTCTGTGGCATAGGGGTTCTTCCTGGATTGGGGCTCAAACCCGTGTCCCCTGCATTGGCAGTTGGATTCTTAACCACTGTGCCACCAGGGAAGTCCAGATTAATCCTTGTATCATTATAAATTATACCTTTTAATCTGTAGTAATTATTCTTGCCTTACAGTGTTTTTCTTTGTTATTAATTTAGCTATATCAGCTTTGTTTTGGTTAGTATTTTCATGGTATGTCTTTTTCTATCTTTTTACTTTCAACCTTTATCAGTTATGTCTTGTCAGTGTGCCTTGTAGACACCAAATATTTCTTTTTTTTTAAGTTTAGTTGGATAATCTTTGTCTTCTAATTGGAATAGTCCATTTTTATTTACTGTGACTGATATTAATCCTATCAGCTTACTATGTATTTTCTACTTGACCCATCTGTTCTTTGTTTCCATTTTTCTCCTTTTCTTACCTGCTTGGAAATTTTCAATTTAAAAAGATTTCCAATTTATCCCTTCTGATGGTGTTTCTCCTTTTACTCTTTTTAAAGTGGTTTTCCCAGAGGTCAAAACATTCTTCCTTGGTTTTCTGAAGTTTAATATAAGTTGGTACTTTAAACATTGCTGTGATTGTAAATGTAGTGGCCTTAGAACCCCTCCTATCATCATTTTTGGTATTCTGGGCGCATAAAATAGATGTTGAACTAAAACTCATGACAACAAGAAGTAATTATTGTCGTTTATATATTATGTGTTATAATACATATGTTATATGAAGTCACTATTTGTTTAGAGTTACCCACATATTGATGCTTTTTCTAGTCCTTCATGTCTTCGTAAGTTTCTGAGTTTCTTTCTGGGAGTATTTTTTTTCTGCCTCTTGGTGGAAGTGTACTGGAACAGATTCTCCCAGTTTTGGTTCACCTGAAAATGTCTTTATTTCTCTTTCATTTTTGAAGGATTTATTTGCTTGGATAGAATCATACGTTTGGAGTTATTTTCAGGTTTTAAAAGATGTTATTTCCTTGTCTTCTGGTTTCCATCATTTCTGTTGTAAAGTCAGTTGCTAGTTTTATTGTTCCTCCACTGAAGTAATGTATCTTTTCTCTGACTGCTTTTATGATTTAGTTATTTATATTATTTCAGCTTTGCTGAGGCATAATTATATAATTAACATATAAATTTATAAGATACTTAAATTGTGCATTATGATAATTTGATATATGTATAACTTTGAAAGGATTTCCCCATCTAGTTAATTAACACATCCAACGCTTCACATATTAATCTTTCTTTTTATGAGAACATTTAAGTTCTTCTCTCTTAGCGAATTTCAGTTGTACAGTACGGTGATAAAACAGTGGTCATCATGTTTTACATTAGATCTTTACCTTATTCATCTTATAGCTAAAATTTGCACCCTTTTACCAACCTCTCCCTATTTCCCACAACCCCAGCCCCTGGCAACTACTTGTCTACTCTCAGTTTCTATGAGTTGAACTTTTTTTTTCTTAATTCCACAGATATGTGATACCATTTGGCTTATTTCACTTAGTATAAGGGCATCAAGGTTCATCCATGTTATCACAGATAGCAGGATTTCCTCCTTTCTCATGGCTGAATAATATTCCACTGTGTATATATACATCTTTTTTATCCATTCATCTATTGATGGACACTTAAGTTGCTTCCATATCTTGGCTATTGTGAATAATGCTGCAGTGAACATGGGAGTGCTGATATCTCTTTGATATCCTGTTTTCATTTCCTTTGGATATATACCTAGAGGTAAAATTGCTGGATCATATGGTAGTTCTATTTTTAATTTTTTGAGGGGTCTCCATACTGCTTTCCATAGTGGCTACACCAATTTCTATTCCCACCAACAGTGCAAAAGTATTTCTTTTTCTCCACATCCTTGCCAACACTTACCTTTTATCTTTCTGGTGATAGCCATTCTAATCTAACAGGTGTGAGGTGATATCCCATTGTGGTCTTGATTTGCATTTCCCTGATGATTAGTGATGTTGAGTACCTTTTCACATACCCATTGGCCATCAATATATCTTCTTTGGAAAAATGTCTGTTCAGGTCCTCTGCCCATTTTTTAATCAATTATTATTATTATTTTTTGCTGTTGGGTTGTATGGGTTCTTTATATATTTTGGATATTAACCCTGTATCAGAGATATGATTTGCAAATATTTTTTCACGTTACATAGGTTGCCTTTTCATTTTGTTGGTGGTTTCCTATGCTTCGCGAAGGTTTTTAGTTTGATTTAGTCCCACTAGTTTCTTTTGCTTTGGTCACTTTGCTTTTGGTGTCAAATCCAAAAAAACATTGCCAAGACCAGCGTCAAGGAGCTTACCCAATATGCTTTCTTCCACCATTTTTATGGGTTTAGGTTTTATGTTCAGACCTTTGATTCATTTTGAGTGGTTTTTGTGTATGGTGTAAGATAGGGGTCCAGTTTCATTCTTCTGCTTGCGACTGTCCAGTTTTCCCAGGACCATTTATTGAAGGGACTGTCTTTTCCCCATTGACTCTTCTTGGCTCCTTTGTCGTAAACTAATTGACCATATAAGAGTGGGTTTTTTTCTGGGCTGTCTATTCTGTTCCATTGATATAAGTGCCTTTTATGTCAGTATCATACTATTT